GAGGTTTTTTGTGAGGATTAAATGAGTGAAAATGCAGAGAGTTACACGAGTGGAGAGTGGTACACAGAAAGCTAGGTAATATTTTGACATATAGAACATGACCTATTATATTACTGTTGCTGGAATCATTCCATTTGTCTTCGGTCCTGATGGACAGAAGAGGTAATATGCTTCTATGCCTTTGGTTCTCAGAGCAGGTGGCACATGACTGAGGCTAGTGGCTTGGTAGGTGGGATGGCAAGGTGAGTCTTACCTGGAACTGCTCTGTGACACAATGTTTGGACAGGGAAGCAGAAGGTTGAAAGGGTGTGTACCCTGGAATTAAATGCATTGTGACATAGTCTGAGGGTTTATTTGCTCATGCTGGAAAGATGAGCTAGGTGGTTTAGTCTGAAAGGAGGAAGAGTAGGCAGTTTTAGACTTAGGGGCAGTCAGCATCTGCTTTTCCCTCTGGAGTCTGGAGCCATTATACATTTTTGAGAGAAGACAATTGAATTGGACTTCACATTGAGGAAAGTATGAAGGTAAGGATAATTTAACTAAGAAAACCCATTCAAAACAGTTGAATCTGGGGAGAGAAAGTGCTAGTACAGAATGATTTCTTGGAGAATCAAGAAATTTTAAGGCTACATATGTATGCTTGTGTAGCTTTGCTTTGAGTGTTAAGGCAAATTGTAAAGTGAAGCTCAAGAAATATTTCAAATTTGTTTAGTGTGTTATAATTTACACATGTGTCTTGAAATATGAGTCACTAATTAAGACTTAGGAACACTTTATTTTGGCAGTGGCTCTAGATGAAATTTTCATTTAGGTTTTTTATCATAATGGTATTCATTTTATGTTGAAGTTAGAAATTTGGTTGCGATTCCACCAAGAAAATTGTTGAATCTCTTTTTCTGGGGTACTTTGAATTCTCTCCTCTTTCGGTGTGAAGACCTGGTCTGTGGTTTGTGTGGCTGTAACATCTGGGAATTAATGCTGAACACCTGAATTAGAACTTGGGCTTTACCCACGATTATCTCCAATTGTGAGAGTTTTGATGTCATTATGAGTGGAGGGCTTCTTTGGATGGGGTTGGAGTAAGAATTTTTAAGATGAACCACATCAGGAAGCCAGTGATTAAATCTTGTAGCCCATCATGTTAGGTCTGGGCGAGCCACTTTCCCCAGCAGGTTTCAAGTGGTGCATCAGGCAGGGAGGGTGCTGAGGATGGACCTTCTTATTTCATGGTCTGGTGCTTACCTGGGGTTTCTATGGGCTGCCCACAAGTATGTTCTACTTTGTGGATGAGGAAAGCCCTGTGCTCTCCTCCAAAAGGAGAATGTGTCTGCTCTTTGGGTTTAGCTCTAACCAAACTCCATGCTACTGTCCTTGTCTTTTCTAAGCAGTAAGCTGCGCCCGCAGGCAACAGTAAAGAAGGGAAATGAAGGTAGATGCATGGGTAATGGCTCTAGGAGATAAGAGTGAGTGATGCTTGAGCAGCTGGGCAGTTTGTTTCTCTCAAGTGAAAGTGAGGTGAAATGACTGCCATTTTCGTTACCAGGAATAAGTAGGTCTGTTTGCTCCCTTAGACGGGCAAATATAGCAAGCCTACTTTGACTTTATGTTGTTTGGATCTTTTAAACACAGAAAGATTAGAACCACCAGATTGTTTCTGATCAAAAGGTTGAAGATACAGAAGTTCTATAACTGAAGTAGGAAGAAGGACTCATTTCTTCCCCCACTCCAATCAGCTCATATCCTTCTTCGACTACTCCCTGTTGCCACCTTATTACATCCCAGTGCAGAGAGATACTGATCCTTTCAGCCTTTGGGGCAGCAGAAGCCTCTTAGCTGGTCATGGGGTGGGTCAGAAGGACTATTTGGCCTAGAGCTGAACATTCAGGGAGGGCCCAGATTTTAAAATATCATGTTGTCTACAACAGAGGCAATATGCTGGCATGTATAGTAAAAGTATTTATTAGGTAATTCCAAACATTTAAAAGCAAACACAATTTTTGCTTACTGTATTTTGGCATTTTCTCCCTTTTTTAATATACCAGGATCCTCGAAAAAAATTGGAAATGTTCCAGGCCCCTAACCTCTGTGAGGCCCTAATTTCCTACTACATAGGCTCTCACAATACAGTAATGGTCATAGAGACTAATGAGGAGGACAGACCTCAATAAGTAAAAACATGAGGAATTCACTAAAGTGAGGACTGAGTGCCTCGAGAATGTGTGACAGGGCCCTCCCAAGTAGGTGAAATTGAGGGGCTAGGGGAGATCAGCCCCTTCTTCTAGAGGAGAAGGGGGTCGGGCAGAGTTGATGTTAGGCAGCAGAGGTGATATGTCTTAATAAGCAATTATTTTTTGGGGAAATAGCCAAAATCTAGGATGATTTTCATATTTTAAGGTTGTGCAAGTGGTGAATGGCAGTGTTGTCGACCAAAATAGTTAACTGGGAAATTTATTTTCTAACAGTGTGTGGGTAAGATGATTAATTTGATTTGGGGGCATGTTGCATATCAATGGCCTTTGAGACATCAGAGTACAGATGTTTTGTAAATATATGATCTTGTATTATAAGAAAGGCTTAGTTACTCTTGTCAATTTAGAACCTTATAGTATATAAGGCACTATCCAGGCCTAATGGGAAATAGAAAGAAGAATAGATTTTATGGCTCCATTTCAAGTTTATTGACTAATTACAGTCGAGATATTACTAGACACAGAAGATCCCATTAACCCTCCAGACAATAGCAAGAGAAATGTTATAGACAGTGCATGAACGACTGCCAAATGAATTGTATAGATGCATCTTGCTTTTCTGTAGTTATTGTCCAAGTACAATTGTTGATTTGGTTTTACTTGTTTTACTCTGGTAGTTTGAAATGCGTTGAGGATGGCATAAGCTTATTTAATAGCACTGTGAGTTATTAATACTTGCTTTGGACTACACATTTTAACCTTGTTAGGGTAGGGACTGTTATTTGTCCCATTTTACAAAGGAGAAAACTGAAGCACCAACAGGTTAAATAACTTTCCTAGATTCATATAAATGATAAATGATAAAGTTTGTATTCAGAGCTAGTGGGTCTGAATCCAAAGACCCATCCCCTCATTTTGTTATACTATTCTTGTCACTAAATATATCCCCTGTCATTTAAGTCCTTTGAAAACCTTGTTTATAGTGGTTGCATAATTTATTTAATCATTTTCCTAATGCCTACATTTGTAATTATGTCTTCTGGATAAATCCTGCAAGTGGGCTTCCTGTACTAAGAAATACAAAATATTTAAGGTTCCTTAAATCATCTAAAATTCTTTTCCAGGAAAGTTAAAAAATTTTACAGTTTGGATGTACTTTTCAATCCCATGTAGAAGTGTTTGGAATCCTATATGGTTGTCTAAACCAAAACAAACAGAACTCAATAACACTGGTTAAAGGTGGTGGTTAGGATAATAAATCAGAGGCTATCAGAGGAGGAAGGTACCATCTAGGCCCAACCCCTCCTTTTATTAACTAAGAACTAAAATTAGAGAACTTAGATGACATGCTTCAAACTACACCACTAAAGTCAGTTAGGACAAGAACCTGAGCTTAGCACTATGTGATATATTGAGTCTGAATCTCTTAGACAGTTTGCATGATTTGAGGGTGTCCTGAAATGTCCATCTGAGGTCTTGAGTGGAGATTTAAGAGACTTAGCGTTTGGGTCAGGTTCACAGTTTACCCCAAGCTTCAGTGTGTCAGAGGGGTAGGGAAGTAATCCAAAGGGGTCTGTTCTGAACTGAGAGGCCCCGTATTCACCCACAGAAATAAAAATGTCTGCTGGGACAGGGGCAATTCTGAAATCTTCTCTTATGAGTTTTCTTAGATCTGGCCTGGTGTCAGATCCACAAGGATGATCTGGATTCTCTCTTGATTATTCTGTTGAATGTACAAAATGTTGAACAAAGGGCTGCTCATATAACTAAAAACTCACATAATTGAAGACTAATTTTTTATAGCTCTGACCAAAAATGGAGCGTATTTCTGTTTATAAGCCAGAGGTGACTCCACCATATGGCAATGGTATAAACAAAATTTGCAGTTTGTTTTGGCTTGGTATCTGGCAAGGTGGGGCTAAGCCGTTTTCTCAATAAACCACAAAGTTTCAATGGGGTAGCGCAATAGAAGTACTTTCTTGGAAAACGAGAAGCAGGCTGATTGATCATCGTCTGTGTTATAGATAGGCCACACCACAGTTGCCCAGGCAGGGGGACAGACAGATAAAGGACTCATGTAGACTCTTAACTGACCCAGCCTGGAAGTGACACGTGCCAATTCTGCTCACAGTCCATTAGCCAGAATTAAAAATGGTTTCAATCCAACTGGAGGAGAGGCTGGGAAAAGAGTGGGGAGCAGCTCACAGATATTGGATGAACACTAACGGGCACATCCATTCACTTGATGCTTGATACTTTGAAATTATCTACTTTAAAAATTTTCTAGCCCACTTCACATCATTTCAAGTTTTAAACATAAAGGTAATACTTTCTTAATACTCTCCTTTTAATATTCTTGAAGGGCATCTGTATGGTGAGGTACATATTGTCATTTAAGGAAATTCTTTTGATCTCTGTGTTAAAAACAACAGAATTTTGGTTAATAGTTGTCAGATTTGGGTAAGCATTTAACTTTTCTAATCCTATATCTCTATAGAAAATGGCATAATAATCCCTCATTCATGGGTGTGATGCAAAAATTAGGTTGGCGATCGTATGTAAAACACTTGACGTAGTGACCAGAGCACGGTCAAGTGTTTATCAAATGTGACTTTTTATTTTCTTTTTATTGACATTTTTGATATTGTAGTGGATCTACTATTGTCCACAGTAATACAGGATCCTCTGAATCAGTGATAAATCCATAATCATTGGAAGACAGTGTACTTAATGGGGACAAGTGATGTTTTGTCCAGGTTCCAGAAATAAAATGTTTTTATCTTCTGTATGTTCTTGTAGGTTGTAGGGAATTTCAGAGGTCATGCTCTCCCTGGAACTTTCTTTATTATTATGAGTCTTTGGTGGAGTACAAGGAGTATTCTGAAATATGTCTGCAAAAAGCAAAAGCGAACCTGCTACCTTGGTTCCAAAGCATTATTCCATCTAGCAGAAATTTTGGAAGGAATTGCATTAGTTGGCATGGCTTTAACTGGTGAGTGGACCATTTCTGTGTTCTGTTTTCTCCTTTTGAGTATTTTCACATATAAAGAAAAGATCCAATATAAAGTCAAGAAATTGCTAAAATAAATTTTTTCATCAAAAATGTCTCTTAACACATTCTAATTGTAATTTCTCTCTGATACATTAATAATTTGTTAGGAAGGTGATACTCATGTTTATACAAAGACCTATTTATGAATTAGTCATAGTAGTTAACTTGCCTACCCAGTTAAGGTAAATATCCTTTATAGAATTCATTGGAGCTTCTGAAATCATTTTATATCTATTGTTCTGATCCCTGAAAGAACGAACCCATTCAAAATCAAAAACCATTTTGCAAACAACAGCAAAATAATCAAGTGATTATGGAAAAGCTTCAATAATAAATCATTGCCGATAGGTTGTAGAATATCTTGCCTCATGCACTCATTCTTCCTTGGTTCCTAAATTGGAGAAAGAGATTTGGCCACATGACTTATTAAGGCTTTTCCACTGACTATGAAGATTCTATGAACACGTGCTGTGTTTTTAAGGGTACCACTGCAGCCTCTCCTTTATAAAAGGTAAAACTTCCCATTTTCCCATTAGATTTCTTTATGCTTTATTCATGTCAATATGTCTTTGCTATGACCACAAATTACAGAGTAGTGTTTCCAAAGAGAGAAATTTCCTTGCCAAATTCTATAGACTAACAAAGAAGGCAGAATCACTAAGAAAGTTTAACTGTTTGCATAACTGACTAGATCATATGCTTATCTGTCTGGGCTTTCTCAGTTATCCTTAACTGAGGAAAAGCTGAACTCTTTAATATTTTTCTCCGGGATCAAGTGCAACCCCCTACTACATGGCAGCTACCCAAACATGCATAATAGTACCTAAGAAGAAAGTAATCAGCCTCCATGGGATGAATTGCAAGTCCATACCCCAAAATTATTCAGGATTTATCTTAGTCATTAGATTGGAATAGTCAGTGGAACTAAGATCATCAGCACTGAAGATCTGAAAGAGCTGTTTGACTCAATTGGTTATCTTTGACTAAAATTGGTGATTTAAATAAGCATCTGAACCTCTAAAATAACCCTAAAGCACCAGTGCTCAGCTGTTGGGGAACAGCCTCAGTAGAGGAATTGATGTCCCAAGATGATAGTAGATTGAAATGAACAATGAGCTGATCTTCCTGCATCTTCTTGCATTCTAGGTAAAGTTATGGAAAGGGTTGCTAAAACTGTGAAATGTTCTTCTACAGGCATGGCTGGGGAGCAGTTTATTCCTGGAGGGCCCCACCTGATGTTATATAAGAAGGGCCAGTGGAACCACCTCCTTAACTGGCATCATTTCACCATGTATTTCTTCTTTGGGCTGGTGGGCGTGGCAGACATCTTATGTTTCACCATCCGTTCACTTCCCGCCTCATTACCCAAGTTAATGTTGTCAAATGCCTTTTTTATAGAGGGTAAGTATAAGTGAGTATTTTTATGTGCCTTTCTTTATTAGTAGGCATTTGTGTAGCCCTTTACAATAATACACCTTTAATGTCTTGGTGCAGCCTTGATTGATAGGGCCATTTTTCTGGGCCATAATGGGTGTCCTAGGCAGGATGACAAAGATCTTCCCTCCCTATTGACTCATTTAGTAGAACTGGGCAAGCACACTCATTCAAAGTGCTTTATTCACCCTTCACATCTGTATTACAGACCCACTTTCAATAGTTACTTATGTCTGCATTGTCCTGGAGATTAACATCCTTCCACTTTTAACAAGTGAAAACTGAACTCAGTTAATCAAGCATGAATATCCTGAAGTGAGGCAACCACTCACAACAGAAGAGCCTTCACCATCTACTAACTAGCCCTTTTCATATCGATATAGCAAAACCCTGCCATTCTGTGATAAGTAGTGTCCAAAAAATTCAGCCACATAAAAATATGAGGTCATAATTTTGACAGGTTCATTAAAACAATATTTTTAGTTCAATTCCCAGTTCCTGTAGGAGGGAAAAAGAAAAGAAGTGTTTAATGATTTGTTGCCATTTATTGCAGGTATAAGAAATAGATCATGAAATTAAAAAAGGCCCAAATTAATCAGAAGGGAGTCACGCCCTACTGAGGTTGCTTGTGACATCTGAAAATAAAACTGTTACCCATTCCTGTTTGGGAACAAGGGCTAGATAAAAGATGGGTACCAACTAATAATAGCCTGATTCTTGTTATCTCAGGGTGTTGCTGTATTTTCAATGAATATCCTTTTCTCTTTATACAAATGAAAAGGATTAAGATGAAGGTGGCATCTATCCAGTGGATGAAAAATGCCATTAGTTTCTATTTCTTGGCACCTTCTCAGAGGATCTTGTCATAGCTGTCAAAGTCCACCCTTATGATTCATGAGTGGACTGAATTCCTTAAGGCGAGGCTTTAGCTTATCCATCTGTGTATCACCTTAATTCTCGTTCTCCTGCTTCTTTGTGCTTATTAGTCCTCATCTTGCATAGAAGATGCCTTGAAATATAATTAGTTGAAAATGTCAAGATGTGTTAGAGGAGAGAATAAAGGTTGGGGAAGAGAAAAGAAGGGTTATATTTCAACAATTCCACTCCAAATAGGCAGTGATGACTTCAAAAATGCTGCAGTGTTGCAGTTCTGTCGGAATCAGTGACACTGTGCTTTGTGTGTGTACAATTCTGTGGAAAGAGAGAGGGAGAGAGAGAAACAGTTGGTGGGCTTTGTTTCATTGAAAAAGACAAACTGTTTTTCCCTCCTCTATCAGCTTTTATCTTCTACAACCACACTCATGGCCGTGAAATGCTGGAAATCTTTGTGCACCAGCTGCTGGTTTTGGTCATCTTTTTGACAGGCCTGGTCACCTTCCTGGAGTTCCTCCTACAGAACAATGTACTTCTGGAACTTCTGCGTTCAAGCCTCATCCTGCTTCAGGGGAGCTGGTTCTTTCAGGTGAGTTGGGTCCTCCAGTAAATGCACCTGGTGTCTCTGCCTGTAATTGCTCTTTATCTGATGGGGCATTTTGCTCTTCACACCAGAGACTTCCCTCCAATGTGCTGCCTGTCATGGGAACATGGGCCTCTGAGAGGTGATGTTTCATAGAGTAGCCTGGTGGCTGTGGTGGGAGCATTGTCAGAGCAGCTGGGAAGGAAGTGGAATGTGCACATCTTCATCTCACACCTGAATAACCATTACGTGGGAACTCTGAGCTGATGCTTTTAGTTAGAAGCAGTTCCTGTTGCTAAAGCAGCTTACAGCCTAATGGGTGATAAGTTGGAGAAATATATGGAAGGCGGGAAAGAGAGGAAATTATTATTTATTGAGAAACAATTGTATGTCAGCCACTGTACTGAACTTTTACATTCATATGTAAGGGAGATGTAACAGAAGTAGAGGCTGACTTAGGAATTCAGACTAACTCTCTAAAGAATCTAAAATATTATGTTGCATTATGTGCATCTGTTTAGAATAAAGCATTTGAGTGCTTCTTTTCCTACTGCTAGAAAGTCCCTGTTTGGGAGAAAGATTGTTAAAAAGTATAATAATAACCTTTTCGAAACTCGTAAGGCAGGTTACTTGTTTTTTATCTATTTAGTTGTGGTCATGGAGACTCTCCCAATTTCCCATAGAACGCTCTCTTAATACTGCTGCAGTATCATGCCATAATTTGGTAAGTGCCACTAGACATAGGACCAGAGTTTCTGATCGCAAACGATGACGCTGGGTAATGTCTGAATGAGAACGTTTGATGTGGATAGTCAGATGAAAGATACCAAAATGTTAAGTTGGAACTCTTTAATTGTGTGTGTGTCTTCTAAAAAATATATTTTATATTCCTAATTGGTTTTCGTCTGATTGATCTCTCACTTTCTAATAGAAGTCTTTATAGTTTTATATTACAGATTTCTCAATTTCTCTTCAGTTTCAGTTTTTGCTTCACTATAAGGCTAAGCTCTGCCTCCCTTTTTCTAGTTTTTTGAGTTCTATGCTGATCTCCTTTATTTTCAATCTTTCTTGCATTAAAATAAATACATACAATTATATACATATCTCTATACACTACTATAGCTATCTCCCATAAGATTTGATATGTAGTAATTTTCACTGTTGGGCAGTTTTGAAAGCACATGCTGCCCTGAGGAACTGGTTGCTTAATCCAGAGGAAGAGGGCAAAGAAAGCTTCCAGGAAAAGGTGAAGTCAAGTTGGGATTTGAAAGATGGGTGGGGAGCCTGCAGCCTTTTGACTGAATGCAAATTTTACAGAACAAATCCTTTCATTAAAAGGGATGCAGCATAGAAAGATGAAGTTTTTCTTCCCTCCTCTGGTGCTTAAAAAGAACAATCTTGAAATCAGAAGGCAATGGGATATGCCTAGGCTGGAGGTTTAGGGTGACTGATAGTCTTTTGCTAATTTTGGTCTTGACCATTATATTAGTTTCCTGGGCTGTCATAACAAATTTCCACAAATTGGATGACTTAAACGACAGAAATTTATTCTCTTACTCTTCTGAAGGCCAGAAATCTGAAATCAAGGTGTTGGCAGGGTTGGCTTCTTCTCAGGGGTCCAGAGGGAGAATCTGTCCCACACTGCTCTCCTAGATGGTTGCCGGCAATCCCGGGCATTCCTGCTGTGGCAGCTAAGTCCAGTCTCAGCCTCTGCTGTCACATGATGTTCTCCCTGTGTGTCTTTGTGCTCCTTTGTCTTCACATGGCCTTCCTAGAAGGACACTACTCATTGGATTTAAAGCCAGCTCTAATCCAGTAGTACTTCACCTTCACTTGATCACACCTGCAAAGACCCTATTTCCAAATAAGGTCACATTCAGAGGCACTGAGAGTTAGGAGTACAACATGTGGGAGGGCCCAGTTTACCCCCCTACAACTGCTAACCCCTACCTCTGGCAGCTGGAGCACCTCACTTCCCAAGCAGGGGTGGATGGATAGTGTGGATGGCATTGGAGGAACATGGCAGGACTGATAGATGGGAACGAGGGAGCTGTCCATAGTTTTTTACACTCAACCCCAATTTGAAGGGCCCTTTCTTGACACAGAATTTCTCTGTCAACTTCCATGAATTTGCTGTGAGAGGAGGAACGTGAGAAGAACAATCTTGTGTTCCTGACACTGCAGCTGAAACAGCTAAGCCCTTGAACTGGGCGTTGACTATGCGACTTGAGTTTCCTTCTTGTTATTCCAAACAGTGAGCACAGAAGACCTAGAAATTTTTGCTTCCTTCTGGGGCTTCAGGGACCTAGGCTCTGACCAGTTGGCCCCACAGTGAGCTTTCTTAGCAGTATGCAAAGGCTTATTGCAAAACACTTACATATCCAAAGCAGCAGGCAAACCAGCTGGGTGGCATTCTCTACCTGCAGTTTCTGAGCAGACTCTTTAACTTAATGACAGATGTGTCTTCTGGCAGAGGTGTTGACATGTCCTCCCTTTAGAATGTAGCCCTGTTCTAAGGCAGAGTCCCCAGCCCTTGCTGGGTAGGCAGAACAGCAGTTATGCAAATATCTTTGCAATTATTTGGGGATGGAGGGCAGGGCCATGTGTTATTTAATTTTCCTATCTCTAAAATAGACAACAAATGCATTCTGTCTTTTCGGAAGACAGGGTAGAGAAGGTCAGGAAGAATTTATTATAAAGTACCCCATATTAGTTTCAACTATTATGATATTTTATGAAAAGTTATGATTTGGACATTGGTTGATGAATAAAATGCACAGGGCCAGTACAAAAGTAGGAAACCTTGGTCTACATTGCTCCACTTGGTCAGGAAGGTAACATGAATGGAGACTTGATGTAGAGAGCATGCTTCCACTCATGTTTGCCACCTGGGAATTCACGCCTAATCTTGCCAGATAATTCTATTTTTACAAAAAAGCCAAGAATGCAAACTTTTGTGTGATGTTCCATAACTTTTTAAAGTATTGTGAACTAATTCAAATTATTCTTAAAAACGTGCAGGTCAGACAATCAGATGTGGGTCAGGGGCTGCCAGTCTGTAATGTGTGTGTTGAGGGTAACATAGTACCATGTCTTCGTGGGAACAACTTCTATCTCAGTAACAGGTTGTTCAAACCATATCAGAGCTGCTGTGATGATGCAAACTGGCCTTTTTATCCAGGACACCGTCCTTCACATTCCCCCATATGGAAAGGCTCTGCGGTGAAAGAGACTGTGGAGTAGAAGAAAAAACAAAGAGTTTTTGGAGCCAGACACTCCTGGTTTAGAATCCTACTTTATTCATCCTGACATTTTGTAATATTGGGGAAGTTACTGAAGTCTCTGAGTTCCAGTCTTCCCCTCTGAAATACAGGGATAATGATGTCTTCTTGAGATTGTTTTGAGGACTAAGGATTATTGTGAAGTTTATGTGCATGAGTGAGGATGAAGTGCCTGGCACATGGTGGTACACCTGTCAGATGGTACAAATGGTAATTCTCTTTCCAAAGAAAGGGAATCCAGACATGGGAACACATGATTAAGGCACAAATATTAGTTTTCCCTGATTTATTCAGATTATTTGAAATTTCAAACAGAATGGAATTAATGTTTCACTCAATATTATAGACTAAGGGCTTTATTTCCCATAAGATTTCATTCATTAGATGTGTCATCATGGACAAGTCACTAAACCACCCAGTTTTCTTATCTGTATAATGAGGATAATAATACATTAAGATCAGGGTAACAATACATCTCTGAAGGGCCTTTGTAAGGAAACTCCTAAGCACTGTATCTGCCATAGTCAACCAATATATGGTAGACATTTGTACAATTATCCATAATAAAATCTTGGTTTTGAATCTCATTTAGTTCTAAAGACCTGAAATCAATACATTTATCTATCTGTCTACTTTTAATTATTTTTTATTGGGATAACATTCACATAACATAAAATTAACCATTTTAAAGCAAACAATTTGGTGATAATTTAATATATTCATGGTGTTGTGCACCCAACACCTCTATCTAGTTCCAAAACATTTTCATCACTGCAAAGGAAACCCTGGACTCATTAAGCAGTCACTCTCCTTTTGTCTTTCTTCCCTGCCCCTGGCAATCACTAATCTGTTTTCTGTCTCTGAGTATTTATTTATTCTGAATATTTGATGTAAACAGAGTCATACCATATGTGAACTTTTGTTTCTGGCTTCTCTCGCTTGTATGTTTTCAGGTTTCATACATGTTGTAGGATGCAGCTGGGACTTCATTCCTCTTCATGGTTGAAAAATATTCCATTGTATGGATATATATACATACATATATATATATATATATATATATATACACCACATTTTGCTTATCTATCATCTGCTGATGGATATTTGGGTTATTTTCTTCTTTTGGCTGTTAAGAATAGTGCTGCTATAAACTTTTGTGTACCAGTGTTTGTTTGAATGCCTATTTTCCATTCTTTTGGGTGTATACCCAGGACTGGAATTAGCAGGTCATATGGTAATTCTACATTTAACTTTCTGAGGAATTGCCAAATTGTTTTCCAATGTGGGAAACGGGGGTTGCACCATTTTACCCCATTAGCAGTGTATAAGGATTCCAATTTCTCCATATCCTTGCCAACATATGCTATTTTGTTGTTATTATTGATATAATACATAGGATTATACATAGGAGGATACAAAGTGGTATCATTGTGGTTTTGATTTGCATTTCCCTAAAGGCTAATGACATTGATCATCTTTTCATGTGCTTACTGACCATTTGCATACTTTCTTTGGGGAAATATTTCTTGAAGTACTTTGCCTATTTAAAAAATTTTTTGTTCAGTTTTAGGAATTCTTTATAAATTCTAGATATTAATCCATATCAGATATATGATATACAAATAGTTTTCTTACTTGCTATGAGTTATCTTTTCTTGACATTGTCCTTTGAAGGACATTGTCCTTTGAATTAAAACCAAAGGTTTTAATTTTGGTGAAGTCCCATTTATCCATTTTTATTTTGGTTAATCGTGCTTTTGCTGTCATACCTAAGAAACCATCACCAAATTCCAGGTCATGAAGATTTCTCCATATGTTTTCTTCTAGGAGTTATATGATTTTAGCTTTTATATTTAGGTCTGTGATCCATTTTGACTTAATTTTATATAGGACATGAGGTAGTAGGGGTCTAAATTCATTTTTTAACATGTGAGTATCCAGTTATCCCAGGACCATTTGTTTATTTTTTCAAACAATTTTTTTGTCATGCTTTATTTTTCCATTTCTTTTAACAGGATGACCAAAGACACAGTCAGAAGTCAGTAAACACATATCTAAGAAACTTCCAGCATCATTTGTTGAAGAGACTACTCTTTCTCCTATTGAATGGCTTTGGCACCCTTGTCAAAAACCAGCTGACCATAGATATATGGGTTTATTTTTGGACTCTCAGTTTTATTTCCTTGATCTATATGTTTGTCATTATGTCAATACCACACTTATTTGATTAGTATGGTTTTGTATTAAGTATTGCGATCAGGGGGTCTGAGTCCTCTAACTTTGTTTTTCTTTTTCAAGTTTATTTTGGTTATGCTGTATCCCTTGCAATTCCATGTGAATTTTATAATCAGCTTTTTCCATTTCTGCAAAAAAGTCCATTGGGATTTTGATAGGGATTGCATTGAATCTGTAGATTGCTTTGAGTGTGATTGCCATCACAACAATGTTAAGCCTTCCAGCGTATGAAAATGAGATTACTTTCTATTTATTTAGGTTTTCTTCAATAACTTTCAATAATGCTGTGCAGATTTTGGTGTAAAAGTCTCCAACCTTTTTGATTAAATTTATTTCTAAGTATTTTATTCTTTAAATGCTGTCGTAAGTGGAATTGTTTTCTTAATGTTGGGGGGTGTTGGTTGTTCATTGCTTGAGCAAAGAAATGCAACTGTTTATTGTGTGTTAATTTTGTATCCTTGAACTTTATTGAACTCATTTATTAGCTGTAATAGATTTTTTGGTGGATTCTTTAGGAATTTCTATATATAAGATCAGGTCATCTGTGAATATAGTTAGTTTTACTTCTTTTCAATATGGTTGCCTTTTATTTATTTCCGTAGCTTAATTGCTATAGCTAAAATTTCCAGTATAATGTTGAATAGAAGTGGTGAAAGTAGACATCCATGTCTTGTTCTTTATCTTAGGGGGGAAAGCTTTCGGTCTTTCACTATTGAACATAATGTTAATTGTGGGCATTTATTTATTTTAAAAAACTTTTTGTTCTCTAAATTTGAAATAACAGTGAAACTGCACATGTAGACACCTACGACATTCTTTAAAAGTGCATCTATTCTCAGAGATGATCACTGTTTATATTTTGTAAATTTATTATTAAATGTCCTTTAAAATTTTTTTTTCAAAAATATGACATAGTAGATACTGTCTTTATTAATAAAACAGGCAACAAAACCTGATGCTTTGTCTGCTCGATCTTGGATAATGAGAGTTATCTTAGTTATTATTCATCTTGCAATGAAGCATTGTGAAAGGTACCATTTTTGAGAATGTGTTTGGTTATTTTAATATGTGCTTTTTGTTTTAAATTACAGATTGGTTTTGTCCTGTTTCCCCCCAGTGGAGCTCCTGCATGGAATCTGATGGATCAAGAGAACATTATGTTTCTCACCATATGCTTTTGTTGGCATTATGCAGTAAGCTTTATCATCATTGGAGCGAATTATGCTTTTGTTACCTGGTAAGTTAGTGATTTCTGTTCGTGGACGTTCTCTTTCTTGGTATATGATCATCAAGGCTCAATAACATTGAATTTAAAATTCAAGTGGGGATTTCATTCTGACCATCCCACAAGATAGGGTAGCATAACAGAAAATTATCTGTAAACACAGAAATTTGCAGTAAAAGGAATAAATCCATTTATAACCTTGGAATAGCTCAACAGTATCTATGCTGTTCTTTTGACCCATACATTACTTGTCAGTGCACTTTTCTATGTCTCTCTGTCTTTGTATACGCTACTTGCTCTTCTGAATGGTCTCCCCACCCACTACCTGCAGTGAGGCCTCCAGTTACCCAGGTGTGCATCCTGCAATTATAGTACTTTTTAAGCTTGGAGTCAGTTTTTGACCAACATGCATGTGTCTCACTGAATTTGAGTGCCTGATTAATTGCATTGACTCTAATGTGTTTAAAAGTAACATTCAGTTGAATAATACATTTTTTTACAAGGACCCCAATATAATGTTTCATGAGTGGGTAAGGAGCAGTATAATAGATCAATAAGAACACATATTCCTAGCTCCACTGTCTATCAACTGAATGACTTTGGACCATTTAGTTAACCACATTAAATTTCAGTTTTGTTTTTCACTAATGGAGATAATGATAATACATAAAGGAGATTATATACTTAAACTGCTTAGGACATAATGAGAGCTTAATAAATGTTATTGTCTCCTTGTTGTTCTTGTTGTTCTTGTTATTCTCCTCCTCCTCTTCCTTCTCTTTCCTTTTTGTTATCAAAAAATGAATGAAGTATAGACCATGAGCATGAGGAATTTTTAGACCTATAATTGGGACTAAATTAGAGAGACAATGAAAATATAGTGTAATAAATGGAAATAGTAGAAGAATAAAGGCACTACTGGAGCTCAGGGGAGGTGTCCCCACAGCTGAAAATGAAGCTGCAGTTTGAAGAATGAGCAGCAATAGAAAGGGGTGGTCACAGTTCCTCTCTCTAAGGTGATTAATGCTAAACCACAATGGGCTTGGCTGATCCCAGTTACTAGGCAGAAAGGCTCTAGCGCCTAATCCTTCAGACTTCAGTGCTGATCAATATCTTCTATGCCTGCATGTTCTCTATCTACAGTGTTCAATATGGTAGCCACTAGCTATTGAGCAATTAATGTGGCTGGTGCTACATTAATTTTAATGAATTTAAATATCCATACATGAATACCGGCTACCATATTGGTTACTACCCACCAGCA